GGTGTGAACTTTCATAAGATCGACTGTATTCTGTATTCAAGCTTCACTGTAACTCTTATATGGAGTTAAAATTCTTTTGCTTCCTTATATTTTCAATAAAAAATATATTTGTGAAACTTAATGACAAATAAAGACATGGATGTTAGTTGCAACTTTACTTGTTTCAGGATGGGAGATGTTTTCAAACTCTTTACCTATATTATAATATATTAAGGTACTTGCTAAGACCAGCTACATACAGTCTTCTATAAATTAAAACTTAGAATAAGATTTCGTTGGGATTTTTAACCCTGGAGGGTTAGCAACCCAGGATAACCCAAGGAAGTCAGTGCGTCATCGAGGACTGTCTAACTTATTTCCATTGGGGTCCTTAATCTTGTCCCCCAGGATGCGACCCACACCAGTCGACTAACACCCAGGTACCTATTTGCTGCTAGGTGAACAGGACAACAGGTGTAAGGAAACACGTCGAAATGTTTCTACCCCGCCGGGAACCGAACCCGGGCCCTCCGTGTGTGAAGCGAGAGCTTTGCCAGCCAGGCCACGGGGTCACCTAACATTGAAGTACTGTGAATGTTACATAAAAACAACAAAGGTGAAATTAAGTCTCAAAAATAAGAGCTGCTAGCACGAATACACAAGACTGATAAATACCACCAAGGTAAAATAACCAGCATTATTTAAAACAGTGTTAAGTTGGAAATGTCGAAAAAACTCTCCGAGGTCCCTACAGGCACCTGAGTAATTATAAAAGAACATTTAACTTGGCGAATAGACAGGATCTGCTTCACAGTGCCTCTTATAACACAGAGGACCAGACACACACACAAACACATAATCAACAGGGATCTATGTCAAAGTAAGACACTGTTGAAGGCGGAAGGTCAAACACACGTCTTAGCAAACCATGTTTTGTTTCAGACAGTCGGGCGGCACACACTGGCCCCAACACTTCCCAAGGCACTGGACAAGCACCTAAAGTCGGTACCTAACCAGCCGGGCTGTGGTTCGTATGCTGGATTGCGTGCAGCCAGCAGTAACATCCTGATTGATCAGGCCCTGATCTACCATGAGGCCTGGTCACAGACCGGGCCGCGGGGGCGTTGACCCCCGGAACTCTCTCCAGGTAATATGTGTGGCCTGTCAACTCACTGTGATGTACAAGGATGATATAACGCAAACTTGAAACAGTAACTTTGGCTTCAACATTCACATGTTCATTTCTCAGAACCCGAGCATGGTCCAGACACCAAGATAATTCCACTTGTGCTGGCTGTGTATACTGCTTGATATGTCTGCATTTGACATGCTGGCACCAAAACAGGAAGCCAGGATTCTGTTTCCCGACTAAACACGCATTGCAAAGTATGCCAGTATGAGTGCCAGGGACAAGAACATTACACTTAACACTAACACCAGACTCACTTTTGCGACAGGAAACACACACAAACGCACCTTGCCTTACAATACTAAATAATAATTCTGACCAAATCAATGCCCAGTGAACATGCGGGAGCGGCGTTGCCACATCAAAACAACGATAAAATATGTGGCAACAACTAAGTTCTTTACAATAAATAATAATCACACAAGTTTTGTAGAGTTAAAATGTTATTTATTAAAATAAAAAATACTCAATACAAGTTTATAACAGTACTAAATGAGGACATAATTGTGTGGCACCCCTGAGTGAGGCAGGTAAGATGAGGCACACCTGCCAGGTGGTACTGTGTGGCACCCCTGAGTGAGGCAGGTAAGATGAGGCACACCTGCCAGGTGGTACTGTGTGGCACCCCTGAGTGAGGCAGGTAAGATGAGGCACACCTGCCAGGTGGCACTGTGTGGCACCCCTGAGTGAGGCAGGTAAGATGAGGCACACCTACCAGGTGGTACTGTGTGGCACCCCTGAGTGAGGCAGGTAAGATGAGGCACACCTACCAGGTGGTACTGTGTGGTACACCTGAGTGAGGCAGGTAAGATGAGGCACACCTACCAGGTGGTACTGTGTGGCACCCCTGAGTGAGGCAGGTAAGATGAGGCACACCTGCCAGGTGGTACTGTGTGGTACACCTGAGTGAGGCAGTAAGATGAGGCACACCTGCCAGGTGGTACTGTGTGGCACCCCTGAGTGAGGCAGGTAAGATGAGGCACACCTGCCAGGTGGTACTGTGTGGCACCCCTGAGTGAGGCAGGTAAGATGAGGCACACCTGCCAGGTGGTACTGTGTGGTACACCTGAGTGAGGCAGGTAAGATGAGGCACACCTGCCAGGTGGTACTGTGTGGCACCCCTGAGTGAGGCAGGTAAGATGAGGCACACCTGCCAGGTGGTACTGTGTGGCACCCCTGAGTGAGGCAGGTAAGATGAGGCACACCTGCCAGGTGGTACTGTGTGGTACACCTGAGTGAGGCAGGTAAGATGAGGCACACCTGCCAGGTGGTACTGTGTGGTACACCTGAGTGAGGCACGTAAGATGAGGCACACCTGTCAGGTGGTACTGTGTGGTACACCTGAGTGAGGCAGGTAAGATGAGGCACACCTGTCAGGTGGCACTGTGTGGCACACTTGAGTGAGGCAGGTAAGACGAGGCACACCTGTCAGGTGGCACTGTGTAACACCCCTGAGTGAGCCAGGTAAGATGAGATACACCTGCCAGGTGGCACTGTGTGGCACCCCTGAGTGAAGCAGGCAAGATGAGATACACCTGCCAGGTGGCACTGTGTGGCACCCCTGAGTGAGGCAGGCAAGATGAGATACACCTGCCAGGTGGCACTGTGTGGCACCCCTGAGTGAGGCAGGCAAGATGAGATACACCTGCCAGGTGGCACTGTGTGGCACCCCTGAGTGAAGCAGGCAAGATGAGATACACCTGCCAGGTGGCACTGTGTAGCACCCCTAAGTGAGGCAGGTAAGACGAGACACACCTGCCAGGTGGCACTGTGTGGCACCCCTGAGTGAGCCAGGTAAGACGAAAACACATCTGCCAGGTGGCACTGTGTAGCACCCCTGAGTGAGGCAGGTAAGACGAGACATACCTGCCAGGTGGCACTGCGTGGCACCCCTGAGTGAGCCAGGTAAGACGAAACACACCTGCCAGGTGGCACTGTGTACAAACCCAACAAAACATATTTCAGGAAAAAGCAAACCAAGCCTGGTGTGGTGGAGGTTCCTCACTGAGCAAGACACTGTCTCACTGAGCAAGACACTGCCTCACTGAGCAAGACACTGTCTCACTGAGCAAGACACTGCCTCACTGAGCAAGACACTGTCTCACTGAGCAAGACACTGTCTCACTGAGCAAGACACTGTCTCACTGAGCAAGACACTGTCTCACTGAGCAAGACACTGTCTCACTGAGCAAGACACTGTCTCACTGAGCAAGACACTGCCTCCACACCAGTCACTCTGCTGGTCATCATAACACATAGGGGGACGTAAGAGGCAGCCCCAATTCCTCAAATCAAGATACGAGACTAAATAACCTATCTGCACAAAAAATAAAAAAAGAAAACAAGAGTACTAGCCACCTCTCCCTCCACAAACCACTATGTTTTTTTCTTCATTCTCTCGTATCTGCTGAAGAGGACATCAGTTGGAGGTCGAAATATGAAGACAACTCACTGTTACAGGTTTTGTTTCCATATGGTTTATGTGCTTGGCAAGTTTGCAGTACATTCTAAAGGTTCCTCTTAGCGCACATGATTCATTAGGGTCTAGCGCTTCCTTTCAATATAATAATAATAAGTTTACCGCTATTCTAAAGTATACATCACAGACTATTTTTTTTTAATAACTCGGGCCACTTTTGTTAAAGGTTTGATTTCGTCAGTCTGACGTTGATGATGACAGTGTAGAGCTGTATACAACTCCCGTCAGTCTGACGTTGATGATGACAGTGTAGAGCTGCGTCAGTCTGACGTTGATGATGACAGTGTAGAGCTGTATACAACTCCCGTCAGTCTGACGTTGATGATGACAGCGTAGAGCTGTATACAACTCCCGTCAGTCTGACGTTGATGATGACAGCGTAGAGCTGTATACAACTCCCGTCAGTCTGACGTTGATGATGACAGTGTAGAGCTGTATACAACTCCCGTCAGTCTGACGTTCATGATGACAGCGTAGAGCTGTATACAACTCCCGTCAGTCTGACGTTGATGATGACAGCGTAGAGCTGTATACAAAACTCCCGTCAGTCTGACGTTGATGATGACAGCGTAGAGCTGTATACAACTCCCGTCAGTCTGACGTTGATGATGACAGCGTAGAGCTGTATACAACTCCCGTCAGTCTGACGTTCATGATGACAGCCTAGAGCTCTACACAACTCCGCTAATAAGTCTAAAAATTCACTTTCACCATTTCCACATCTTTTCCCCTGAAGTCCATCTGTTACGTCATCATCCTCACAACCATTTCTATCATTACCATCATAAAAATCACCATCACCGCCATTTACTTTGATCCCTGAAAAAAAATTCTGTTCTGTTTTCTTTCCTAACTTCGTGAATGCTTTCGTTTGATGACTATGCTCAATTGTTTACAAGAAAAAGTTGCAATTTCTTACCCTGTCTCTCTCTCTCCTCTTTCTCCATTCTTTTATAACTGGTTTTCATAACAGATGAGGGGAAAGAGTAAAGGAGGAATGTAGGCAATAGTCCCCCACTGAGCAAAGTTTCGGGGGTCAACGCCCCCGCGGCCCGTTAACAATAAAAACATAATTTCAGTGGCTATACCGTTGTTTCAACTGTTTATTGATAATTCATAAAGTGGGGATTACTAGACACTGTCTCGATCCATTCTGAATCACTGTCAGATCACAGAACCCCGAATAATAGTTTGCTGAGCCTCAAGTTAGTGGTCGCTGAACCTCCTCAAGCGGAAGCCCCCATACAACCAAACTTAAAGCCTCAAAGAAAAAACTCACAGAATCTCAAATGAGAACCTCAGTGGCCTCTGGGTAAGAAAATAAGATAAAGACAAACTGAAGTAGCTACTCACTTAGAGAGGTTTTCTTCTTCTAGGTGTTTCAACTTCTTCTTTCTCTTCTCGTCTCTTCTGTCGTCTTTCTTCTTTTTCTTGTCTTCTACTTCGAGATTTACATGGCAGTTCGAGTCGACTTCAATATCATCTGCTAACAACTGTTGTTGTAGTAGTGGTAACGACGGTGGTTGTTGGTGGTGTAGATGTTGTTGCTGATGGTGTTGTGGTTGCTGATGTTGCTGGTGATGGTGCTGTTGCTGATGGTGCTGCTGTTGTTGCTGCTGCTGTTGTTGGTGGTGTTGCGTTTGTTGCTGCTGTTGCGTTTGTTGCTGTTGTTGTTGAGCTTGTTGGTAGTGTTGTAGGTGGTGATGGTGGTGGTGGAGATGCAGCTCCTGGTCCACCTCCACTTCTTGTACTAGACGGTTGTCGTCAGCCTCTGGCGGGCGGGCGTGGTTTTGTACGGCGTCAGTGTCTGGCTTCACTTCCACCTTGGGTTTTAGCTTCACTCGAGCCTTCTTTTCTCTCCGTTCTTCTACGTGGTTAGTCTCACTTTTCACTCTGTGTTCGAGGATGGTTCGAGTCTCGTACTCCCGTGTTCCCTCCTTCGTTTTTAACCGGTTTTCCTGGTTCCACTTGCCCTCGGCCTCTTCCTTCAGATCCTTCAAGTGATTGTTGTTTTTCGGGGGTTTCTCGACAACCTTAGAGTGTCTACTGGAGCGGCGACCTTCGCGAACTTTGGTGCTGTGTCTCTCCGTCTCCAGTGAGGCTTCGTGAATCTCCGGCGCCTCCTGCAGCCTCGGCGTCCGGCGGGGAGCCACCTCCGTGTATCTCTCACACTCGCCGTTCGCCTCACGTGACTTGCCGTTTCTGCAGAAGCGAGAGAAAACGAGTTAGTCAGCATACATGTCATGACCCAGGAGCCAATGACCTCTGGTAGCCGAAGCACCTAAAGCAGAAATCAGTAGGCAACAGGTTGCAGCCAGAGGCAGCGAGAAAGCAAGTAACAACAACAACTATCTGATAAAAACCAGACAGCTGAGGTGTTCCCTGGATTCTATGCTTCTAAAGGTGTGTAAAATGGGAAAGCTAACAGTAGACACAGTAAAGTATTAGAGTAAAAAGTCTTGGAAAGAGTCTTGGACGCCAGACTTGAAGGAAGTATGAAGACAAGTTGTTTACATACCAGGGAGTGAATATGTCGGTGGATGATGTTCGTGTACCTCTAGGAAGACATCTAGCAAGCGAGTGATGATGAGAGGGATCATTCTGTCTTGCTGATATATCCTAAAACTATTTTGTCGTTCCTTCGGTATAAAAGTTTATTACTGAATAAGTCTACGGTGTAGGCGAAGCGTGTCAACAATGAAGATACCCAACTGTTGCACATGTGTCTTAATCATCAACGTGTCGGTATTTTATACCAGTTTCAACATGTTCATCAGTTTTGTTCTCATAATTCTTCAAGTATCACTGAGGTGCTATGATATCACCAGAAATTTGAAAATTTTTATCATATCGAAATGAAATTCCTAAAAATCAAATGCTGCAGAAGAGCAATTAAGGAAAAAGTTAAATGTGATCATCTCAAAAATTTCCTCCAACACATCCTAAATCCGAAAAAAATTAAATTCTCTCACCGACGATTATTTTATTAACGAGGCTGAGCGAAAAATTTAATTCCTGGTCTTATAGGAAATTTCAACTCAAGGAGCACATTGTTGGAACCTCTTAGTGCGTAGTCCTTCAACCATCACCAGTCTTTTAAAAACCATGGAGTCCCTTTAACAGCCATGGAGTTCTGTAAGAACTTCAAAGTTACTTCAAGAAATATGAAGTACAGACAACGACTATATCCATTAAATGGAAACACACACACACACACACACACACACACACACAGTACACACACACACAGTACACACACACACACACACACAGTACACACACACCCCAGTACACACACACAACACAGTACACACACACACAGTACACACACACACACAGTACAACACACAGTACACACACACACAGTACACACACAACACAACAACACACACACACACACACACACACACACACACACACACACACAGTACACACACACACAGTACACACACACACATACCTTTCTAAACTATATTTACCGAGTCAAATTTTACTGATGTTTCAGAAGTCCATGCTAGATCCCTCCCCCTCCCCCCCCCACCACCAAAAAATCAATTTTATAATAAATAATAATAATAATAATAATCGTGTGTCAATGGTCCAAGTCGGACCGAAACGTCGTCGTAAGCTTCTCTCTTTTATATGCGGGTTATTTGTGTGTTGTGAATCAATTTTCTGGCTGCACTTTAATAACAACATTCCCAGAGCTGTGACCACCAAGTTTGTCACGGTTCTCGCACAAAACCTGACAAGAATCGTGGAGGAAAGGTTTGTGAGGGAGTCTCCTCCTGACGTGAGATTATTATAGTCAAAACGAAGTGCTAAACCCGCTAGGGTTATACAGTGCCGCTCTTGATGTAAAAGATCATGAGGAGCCTCACCTGGCAGCTTGTCTGGCCTACCTATTTATCTCCCTGTCTTCTGTATGTCCGTCTTATCTCCCTGTCTTCTGTATGTCCGTCTTCTTTATTTCCCTGTCTTCTGTATGTCCGTCTTCTTTATTTCCCTGTCTTCTGTATTTCCGTCTTCTTTATTTCCCTGTCTTCTGTATTTCCGTCTTCTTTATTTCCCTGTGTTCTGTATTTCCGTGTTCTTTATTTGCCTGTGTTCTGTATTTCCGTGTTCTTTATTTTCCTGTGTTCTGTATTTCCGTGTTCTTTATTTTCCTGTGTTCTGTATTTCCGTGTTCTTTATTTGCCTGTGTTCTGTATTTCCGTGTTCTTTATTTCCCTGTGTTTTGAGTCTTGTGTCAAGAATAAAAACTCATTATTTGTTACAACTCATCACAACGACCCAGAGCAAGACTAGGAGCATCTCTCTCCCTCCCTCCCTCTCTCTCTCTCTCTCTTCTCTCTCTCTCTCTCTCTCTCTTCCCTCCTCTCCTCCCCTTCCTCTCTCTCTCTCTCTCTCTCCTCTCTCTCTCTGAGGGCAGAGAGAGAAAATTAATGTTCTATATATAACTATGTAGCAGGAAGTTTTAAGCATGGGTGGCTCAAATGGATTTTGAAAAGCAGAAAGTTAGCTGGTTGGTGTTATGAGCGGTGCGTGTGTGGCATTATTAAAGGAGGAGGAGGAGGGGTGGTGGAGGTGGTGGAGGTGGTGGTGGTGGTGGTTGTGGTGGTGGTGGTGGTGGTGGTGGTAGGTAGTAGTGGTGGTGGTGGTGGTAGTGGTGGTGGTGGTGGTGGTGGTGGTGGTGGTAGTGGGGGTGGGGTGGTGGTAGTGGTGGTGGTGGTGGTGGTGGTGGTGGTGGTAGTGGTGGTGGTGGTGGTGGTGGTGGTAGTGGTAGGGTGGTGGTAGTGGTGTGGTGGTGGTGGTTGGTGGTGGTGGTGGTAGTGGTGGTGGTGGTGGTGGTAGTGGTGGTGGTAGTGGTGGTGAGGTGGTAGTGGTGGTGGTAGTGGTGGTGGTGGTGGTGGCGGCGGTGGTGGCGGTGGTGGTGGTGGTAGTGGTGGTGGTGGTCGTTAGTGGGTGGTGGTGGTGGTAGTGGTGGTAGTGGTGGTAGGGTGTGGTGGTGGTAGTGGTGGTAGTGGTGTGGTAGTGGTGATGGTAGTGGTGGTGGTGGTAGTGGTGGTGGTGGTAGTGGTAGTTGTGTAGTGGTGGTAGTGGTGGTGGTAGTGGTGGTGGTGGTGGTGGTGGTAGTGGTGGTGGTTAGTGGTGGTGGTGGTGGTATGGTGGTGGTGGTGGCGGCGGTGGTGTGCGGTGGTAGTGGTGGTAGTGGTGGTGGGGTGGCGGCGGTGGTGGCGGTGGTAGTGGTGGTAGTGTGGTGATGGTAGTGGTGGTAGTGGTGGTGGTGGTAGTGGTGGTGGTGGTAGTGGTGGTGGTGGTGGTGGTAGTGGTGGTGTGGTAGTGGTGGTGTGGTAGTGGTAGTGGTGTGTGGTGGTAGTGGTAATAGTAGTGGTGGTGGTGGTGGTGGTAGTGGTGGTGGTAGTGGTGTGGTGGTATTAGTGGTGGTGGTGGTGGTAGTGGTGGTGGTAGTGGTGGTGGTAGTGGTGGTAGTGGTGGTGGTGGTAGTGGTGGTTGTAGTGGTGGTGGTAGTGGTGGTTGTAGTGTGGTGGTAGTGGTGGTGGTGGTGTTAGTGGTGGTGTTAGTGGTAGTGGTGGTGGTAACGGTGTGGTTGAAGCGTGGTGGTTGAGGGGTGGTGGTTTAGGATGTGGTGGTTGTGGTTGGTAGTGGTTGAGGTGTGGCGGTGGTGGTGGTGGTGGTTGAGGTGGGGGTGGTGGTGGTGGTTGAGGGGTGGTGGGTGGTGGTTGAGGGATGGTGGTGGAGTGGGTGATGGTTAGGTGTGGTGGTGGGTGATGGTTGAGGTGTGGTGGTGGGTGGCAGTTGAGGGGTGGTCGTGGTAGTTGGTGGTGGTTGAGGTGTGGTGGGGGTGGCGGTTGAGGGGGGTAGTGGTGGTGGGTGGTGGTTGAGGGGTGTGGTGGTGTGGGTGCTGGTTGAGGGTGGTGGTTGTGGGTGGTGGTTGAGGGGTAGTGGTTGTGGGTGGTGGTGTGGTGGTGGTTGATTGGGGTAGTGTGGTGGTGGTTAAGGGTGGTGGTGGTTGGTGGTTGAGGGGTGGGTGGTGGCTGGTAGGTTGAGGGTGTGTGGTTGAGGGGGGTTTTGAGTTGAGAGGGGTGGGTGGGTTGGTGGTGATGGGTGGTGGTTGAGATATGGTAGGAGTGTGTGGTGGTGGTTGAGGGTGGATGGTGGTAGGTGGATGGTAGTGAGGTGGGTGATGGGGCAAGGTGGATATGGTAGGTGGGGATGGTAGGTGGGCAGATGGTGTAGGTGTGATGGTAGTATGAGAAGTATGAGATGGATGATGTATTGGATGGGTATGATGGGTAGGGTGATGTGGGGATATGGATTATTTTATTTGGAGGGTGGGGGTAGATGGATAGGAGGGATGTGAGGGGTTTTGTGGAGTAGTTGATGTAGGTTTTAATGTAATTATATTATTGGTAATTGGGTGATGGATTATGGAGGGGTGTGGGTTATTATTATTACAGGATAATTATATTCTTATTACATTAGTGGTGATCATTAACTTAGTTTGGATTTTTTTTATCTTTTACTTATTATTTTACAAAGTTCATATTTATTCTCTTTCTAATTAGATATTAATTCATATTATTTTAATTCAGTCATTAGCTTATGCATTAACTGTATTACATTACTTATGATCCATTACTTATTCATCATTACGTTATTCACATGTACTTAGATTTAGTCATTCTTATCATCATTATTTATTCTCATTAACTTAATTCTCATTACTTATTCATTACTTAATCTCATTACTTATTCCCATAATACTTGATTTCTCATTACGTATATCATTACCCCACCCACCCCCCACCACCACCTTACTCCCAAAACCCTTTCCACCCCCCCTTCCTCCCCTACCCCCCAAAACCACCCATCACACCATCCCCAAAGAAATCCCCTTCGTCCCCCTTTTCCTCCCCTTTCCCCTCCTCTTCACGCCTCCTCCCCTACCACCCCACCTTCCCCCCTTTATCGTCCTTCCAACCTTCCTTCCCCTTATCGTCCTTCCCCCTCCCTTTCCCTCCTTATCGTCCTTTCCTACCTACCCTTCTCCTTATCGCCCCTTTCCCTACCTCCCTTCTCCTTATCGTCCTTCCTCCCTCCCTTCTCCTTACTTTCCTTCCCCCCTTTCCTTCCCCTTTATCGTCCTTCCTACCTTCCTTCTCCTATCGTCCCTCCTC